GGCATCCAGCCGGAGGAGCAGATCCTTGACCTGTTCCTCTGGGATCACAGGAGCTTCGATTTGCTCTCCCTCCCTGCTCTCAGACACCGAAGGCCAGCTCACCTGGGAACTGCTGACCTCATTATTAAAGACTGAGGCAAAGAAGGCATGAAGGACCTCAGCCTTGTCCTCATCCCTAGTGACTAACGCACCCCCTGAGTCCAGTAGGGGCTGGAGGGGATCTTTAGCCCTCCTTTTGTTATTAATATATTTATAGAAAGACTTTTTGTTGTCCCTTACGGAGCTGGCTAGTCTAAGTTCCAGTTGGGCTTTTGCCCCCCTGATTATCTCCCTACATGTCCTAACTTCCTCCCTGTATTGATTCCTGGATGCCTGCCCATTCTTCCAAGACTTATAGACATCCCTTTTTCTTTTGAGATGTTCCCAAATCTCCTTTGTCATCCAAGCTGGTTTTCTACCCCGGCGGCTCGACTTCCGGCACACAGGGACAGCTCGCTCCTGTGCCTCCAGAATTTCCTTTTTGAATATTGGTACAGTCTCTCGTCTCTTTTTGCTTCACAGCTGACATCACGGCTTACTTCAGCGTTTCTATTACAGGGATGACTGTCCAGATCCCCACGTGCCAGCAGCTCTGCGTTTGCCAGGACAACACATTATTTTCTGGATAATTCCTCAGTTGCCACAACTGCCAAAGAAGCCTGTATGGGACCGAAGTTCGGATGACCCTTCCGCGCTCCATCTGGAAGTTAGGACAGGCGCCTGCGCGTAGCTGTGAACGCCTGGAGCTGCTCCTGGGCCCAGAGCTGCAACGATGCATGGTTCCCCTCCCGCTCCACCTCTTCACCTTTCCACAAGGTAAAAGAAGGTACCTCCCATGGTGGGTCAAAGTGCTACCCAGTGTTCCTGGTGGCTCTGGATGACCTAACCACCAGAGATGAAGGGAAGGAAGCCATTGAAGCAGATGTCCCCTCACTGTTAAGTGCATCTTCCATGATTGTTTCGAACACTTAAGTTGTAGCAGCAGCTGCTGTTTCTGCAGATCAAGTTCCGTGGCCAGTCTCTGCCAAGACAGCTCAGGACTCAACTCACGTGGTTTTCAGAGCTCTCCTCAAATGACAGCCTCTGGGGTTCTCTTCACATCCCCCTTCCCAGACTCGTTACGCTGTGGGCCTACCCATGTTCTCCAGACCCCTAACGCTTCCCACACAACTTTGCAAAATTTCAGCACTTAATCGTGCTATTCCCGGTGATCTTCCCACACTTTCTTCAGCTACTTAACAAATTTCGTTTTACAAAAGGCTTTGATTTTCCTCCTCTTTTTTTTACATGCTGCCGCTTCATTTTCATAGATTCATAGATTCATAGATTTCTAGGTTGGAAAAGACCTTAGAGATCATCGAGTCCAACCGTCCCTAATCCCCACTAAACCATATCCCTAAGTAGATTTTGATGTGGCAAATTCAATCGTTGCCTTAAAGGAAACGGCCGCTCGAAGCTATTGACCTCCAAGGGTTCAGCATGAGCTGGGGCATCTGTGGAGACACAATTTAAGCACCTGCAGCCCAGCAGTGATGCACAGCAGAAGATTTCCTGTTCTTGGCTGCAGATAAGCAGAATTTTAATGCTTATGGTGGCACATCCAGGCTTGTGAGAAGAGGTGACTGAGGGGGGACCTCATTAATGTTTATAAATATGGAAAGGGTGACTGTCATGAGGATGGAGCCAGGCTCTTCTCAGTGGCATCCAATGACAGGACAAGGGGAAATGGATCTAAGCTGGAACACAGGAGGTTCTGCTTAAACATGAGGAAGAACTTCTTCCCAGTAAGGGGAACAGAACACTGGAACAGGCTGCCCAGAGAGGCTGTGGAGTCTCCTTCTCTGGAGATGTTCAAAACCCGCCTGGATGTGTTCTTGTGTGATCTGATCTAGGTGGTCCTGCTCCGGCAGGGGGATTGGACTAGATGATCCTTTGAGGTCCCTTCCCATCCCTGACATTCTGGGATTCTGTGATTGTAAGCTGCTCAGGTAGGCAGTTACCTTCAGACCGGGACTGCCTTGTTGTCGTAGCTACTCTGCTGGTGGGGAGACACAGCTCACGCTGCCTTTGCACATGGAAACTACCATCCTTACGTAAAAAAATACAAATAAAACCACCTACTCTGTACTTACTGAGAGCTGAACTCACAGCATCACAGAATGGTTTGGGGTGGAAAGGACCTCTAGAGATCACCTATGCCCCCCCCCCCTGCCATGGGCACGGACATCTTTCACTAGATCAGGCTGCTCAAAGCCCCCTCCAGCCTGGCCTTGAACACTTCTCCAGTATACTGTCTGCTCATGCCTGAGATCAAAGCTATACACACCGTAGTTCCTCCTTACCTTTCCATTTCTCTGCTACTCAAGAAAATATCTTCCAATGAAACATGGCTAATCAAGCCAAAACATCACTGAATCCAACCAAGTATCAGGAATAAGCAAAAAATTTAAACCTAATCTGCATTTCACTTAGGGACACCCTGCACCTCCCGTCTCCTCAGCTCAGCTCTGCCAGAGGCAGGGAGGGCTTTTTTCAAACAAAGAGGGTGT